AAAAATAAATTACAAGACATTAAGATGCAGCGAGTGCAGATCCTTTATCTGAAAGTGATATTACTGATCGATCTACACACCCAAAACTAAAGTTGAGCTCAGTGATTTTAATTTTTTCGTGAGCATGCATCTTACAAATGACTAATTTGTTCCTAATTTGTGTGTTCTCTGCTCTCTCCATAGACTGTGTATGATGAGTGGTTCATTACGCTCTACAACCTGGTGTATGCGGCTTTACCTGTTATTGGCCTCAGTCTCTTTGATCAAGTATGTCATATATCAATATACCCCACCCCTGGATTAGCATGCTACATTCAGCATCATTGAACTCAATTCATTCATGAACATGTGTGTATGTGCAGGATGTAAATGACCGCTGGAGCTTCCAGTACCCCCAGCTGTACGCTCCGGGTCAGCTGAACCAGTATTTCAGTAAGATGGCCTTCGCAAGGATCCTTCTGCACAGCTGCTACAGCTCACTTGTCCTCTTCTTCATCCCTTGGGCAGCCATGTGCGACACCGTCAGAGATGATGGCAAAGACATTGCAGATTATCAATCATTTGCCCTGCTAGCGCAGACCTGCCTGCTCATCGCCGTCAGTGTGCAGGTAAATTCTCATTTAACAGTATACACACACACACACACACACACACACACACACAAAATGCACAACAGTTATTGAGAATTACCATCTTACTCAAAAATGTAATAATCTATATATTGTACATTTTAGAAATAGATATATTGGACACATACTGTATAGTGACCCTAAAATCATTTGGACAATTTTTCGGAACCTAAACCTGTTTTGTTGTGTATGTAGTTTCTTATTTTTTAAATAAGTATTTATTTGATAAAAAATACATTAAAAACAGTGAAATTGTGAAATATTATAATTAAAAAAAACTTCTATTTGAATATATTTAAAAATTATATTTGACACCAGTTTTCAGTGTATGATCCTTCAGAAATCACTCTAATATGCTGATTTGCTGCTTAAGAAACATTTTATATTGTGCGCTGAAAACAGTTCAAACTACTTAATATTTTTATGAAACCCAGCCACGATACATTTTTTCCAGGATTTTTAGACGAATAGAATGTTCCGAAGAAATTCATTGATTTGAAATAGAAACCCCAAACCTTTGGATGGTAGATGCAAACTAACCCTATGTTTATGTGTGTTTAAGATGGGTTTGGACACGTACTATTGGACAGCAGTGAATCAGTTCTTCCTGTGGGGCAGTCTGTCTGTGTATTTTGCCGTCACCTTCACCATGTACAGCAACGGCATGTACTTGATCTTCACGTCGTCTTTTCCTTTCACTGGTGAGTGACCCTCCATCCCAACCACATCTGCTCATCCTGCTGTTTGTGTGTTTTAAGCAGCTCCAAATGACTCTACAATTTTTCTCAGGCACTGCAAGAAACTCCCTGAACCAGCCGAACGTGTGGCTGACCATCTTCCTAACCACCATATTGTGCATATTGCCTGTGGTTGCAAAACGGTTCCTCTTCATCCAACTCAAGCCCACTATCAACGACAAGGTGGGTTCAAATTTTGTTGTCACCTCAGTTGATTGACAGGCAATCTGACCAATCATAACACTGAATCCGCTATTTTGTTCGACAAACAAATCGGTTGATTAACGTCGGTGGACTTGAACTTGAAAAATTTCATTTGACTCATTTGGACTCATTCTTGACTCTGACACGACCCTCCTCTGGTCTTGGTCTTGACTTGGACTCGAATGAGCTGGTTTTGACTACAACTCTGCAATATATGAACCCAAAAGACATGAGATTTCATTTTTTTTCCCCCAGTAGAATATCGTATAATGGAGTTTGACTGGCATCACAGGCATCTTGTACTACACGTTTACTATTTATAGTCATTTTTGCTCCAAAACTGCATTCAGACTCTCTCAGGCAATGCGCCAGTTCTCGACAGGATGAGAATGTGAGATCTTCCTCCCTTTATGAGTAGAAGGCATGTGTCGAATGAGTCAGAGCTGTGGGATGCAGTGGCACGGCTGCAGCACAGCATCACGCTGAGGCGTAATGTCAAGGTTATTTCTGGAATCCACAATCAGTGGTGTCACAATCTCATGAGCAGGAGTCATTCATAAACAAAATGACTACAACTTGAGCCTTATGCTTTTTCCTTCTTCTGTGTTTTTGATACTAATTGTATTCTTTCCTTTCAGTATAGTGTATATTTTCTTCTCATTCTTCTGCTCTACAGGTGCGTCATGAGGTCAGACAGGCCAAAGCTGTGCCTCCGCCGCCTCCTCGCAAATTCCCTCGACGACGAATCAGTACGCGGCGATCTGGTTACGCCTTCTCTCATGCTCACGGTTATGGAGACCTTGTCACCTCTGGACGCTTTCTGCGTATTCCAGTTAAGAGCAGACCAGCTCTTTTCCACCACACTGACACTCCGGTGGCTGACAGCACACCTCAGACTTATCGAACCATCTTCGAGGAGGCTCAGAGTCCCTAAAGCTCCTTATTCTGTTGTATATATACTTGTGATGACTTGCCGTCAAGCTTGATTTCACCTTCAGCATTGGTCATATTTAAATAATAAAGGAGAGAGATTCTTGGAGGGGCTTAAAAATATTTCACATATGAGTAAGTGAGATTGTGAAGCGAGCCTGTGAAGCTTTGAATCAGTAAGAAACTGGTTTTAGCTGTGATTAGTGGCTGAAAATCATGCTATAAAACTTGAGAGTTTTCTTAATGTTGTATTAACAGCACCTATGCACACAGAAACACTTGAAAATAAAATCACCCATGTGGTTCCTCATGTATTAAGACCAGAGGACATAATAAATATATATTTTTTAATTTTAGGACATTAGAATGTTCATCTCGCCGTTAGTCTGTCCACATAAAAAGAGGCCTAGAGATTACTCAAGAAGAGCTTCATACAAGCAGATTTCATTTGCTTGTAATTGTGTATGACAGTCTCGTAGATGTTTTGTGTGTTTCTTTTTTGATGTTTTTTATCAATGAATATTTTAAATGGTCACCAAAATGCTTTGATTTGACATACTTTATCATGTTTTGTACAAAGATGCAAATGTGCCTTGATTAGTGATAAATACAATAAACTTAAAAACTACACAAATCTTTTTGCTTTTTTTTTTATTGTATTTGTCTAATTGTTATATGTATCAAGAATCAGATTAAATCTATTTTATTAGTATTTGTAGTAATATATATTCAGCACTGAGCTCAATGCATTTGTGAAACAAACCATTTGAAGCAAATGATTCAAATTCATTAATCAAATTTTTCAGTTGTTCTTCAATAAAATATATGGATCCACTTTATATTATGTATCTTTGAACTATTATGTAACAACATTTAAATGATTTGATACAATGTACTTATTGTGTACATTACATATTTTTTTACAGTACATTTAAAAAAAACTGCATGTAATTCTATCTTTATTTCTGTAGAACTGTTCAACTCTACCCCTGCCCTTCAACCTAACCATACCACAAAACCTGCCCCTAACCTTATACATTTTCCACCTCAACAGCAGCAATACAACTTGAACACAATAAGTACATTGTATCAAACAATTTTTTTTTAAATACAGTATGTACAGTACATTAAAGACACCTAATATAAAATGGGAGCAAACAAATAAGCATAAAGCATTCTTATAAAGAAAACATTTACAAGAACAACATAGTGTCTCTTTTGGAAACTGCATCTGTAAGAACACTTTGTAAGGCCTGTCCTTACTACACAGTATTACATAGTTTTGAGCTTTCTTCCAGTATACTTACAGATTTTTTTTTTAGAACAGTTGATTATCCTCATGTTGCCTGCATGTCCATATCAAAACAAAATAATTACAAGACTTCCCCTTGAAAAACAAGGTTGATGGAATGTTCCAGTTTGTCATTGTTTTCTGCTTGAGTGTACTGGATGAGCTTGATGAAAATATACAGGAGGTTTGACTGTTTTGACTATTTCATCATATTTTAGCTTCCACGTGACATAAATTTGCCAATGTGCATCATTCAGTATATGCTATCTACAGTTGTTCTTTGTTGATTAGAAGCGATGGCATACAAATATTTTGGGGCATCTTCTAGTTCTGCTGATTTAGGTCAGTAGATTACCAGTAAAGCCAGTGAGCTTTTTGATATATAATCTGCTGAGTTTGTTGTTGTTTACCATGTGTGTGGTGGAGACAAATTATGAGCTGTTCCCTAATGCGTTGTTGAATTGAGAGACAAAGTCAGTCAGTCAGGCGAAGGGATTTAGCCACCTTTCCCAGCAGTGCCTACAGCAGATGTTTGTGAGCTTATCCATATCCATGCGTCATCAAAGTCAAGAGTCTGTCAACTTGTTATTAGAGTGACGGGGAGACGAGGACAACCAAAAACTGACCTCTTTCCACTTTTTTGGATTAAATTGAATGGGATAAAAGATACATATAACAGTTCTTTCATGCAATATGTTGGGTGAACCAATCGTTTAATCTAAAAATTTGATCCAGTCTGTCTAAATGATTTGTGAATCATAAATGATAATTTGCTCCTTCAGCAAGATTTGGAATATAGTGCCTTAGTTGTATGGACCACTTTTATATTGCTTTTTCATGTCCTTTTTGAGGCTTGGAAAGTCTAGTTCCCATTGTAATTGCATGGAAAAGAGCAACCAGCACAGTCTTCATAACATCTCCTTTTGAGTTCCATGGAAAAAACGGTCATACGGGTTTGGAACGACATGAAGGTGGACTATTCCTGTACACCTTTCTAAAAATAGGCTTTCTACCATCATCTTTTCTATGTCAGAAATCTGCTCAATTTTGAAACATTAGTTTCTCATTATCTCAATTTTCTGTTCCAAGTCTACTTTTTAGTACGAGTCAGTGTTCAGTGCCCCCCATGCTGAGAGCAGAGGCAAATCTGCCATCCCCTCAAATATGATCCCTCAACAACAAACCACTGAGCATGCTCAGTGGGGTCTGTGATGCTGTTGCTATAGGACTGTGGGGCTCAGAACCACTGTACTGGGGGAGGAGGGAATGTGTGAGGAACCGGTGAGCTGTGAGGAGTGCAGAGCAGAAAGAAGTGTGACTAAAGAGGAACTACAAGAGGGACGTTACCCATTTCCTATCTTTTCATTTTTTATTTTCCCGTGCTTTGCCTCTGCTGAGTGGATGTAGAGCATTAGGTTGTGATCATGCGGTGTGTTTGCTCCAGTTACTGTGCAGACAGAATGAGAGTGTCTATGTGCTGGCTCTCGGATTGATGGAGCTTTACGGCTGGGTGAGTTGATGCAGTTGCCCACATTAACAGCCTGAACACAGGATCGTAATTTACTGTTAACTAAACATAGAATTTAGGGCTGGAATTTGAGAATTTAAGCAATTTACGAACTTTATTAAAATAACAAATAAAATGTTCAATATATTTTAAATAACTGTTTGTTTAACTTTTCGCTGTAGTTTGGGACAAGTGTATCTTCAGAAGTTAGCAAAATATGACACTTTTTATGAACTTTATTTTTGGGACATTCTGACATGTGCTCATTTGGAAAAATGGCTCATAAATAAAAGTTAAATAATGCTGTTTTTAAATCGCAGAGGCGATTTTTTTTTAAGGGTTAGTTAGTAAGGATTTATAATTACAAAACAAGAAGCCTATGTCCTCATGTAAACAGATTAGGTTTAGGTGGTGGTAAATATATTTAGCTCAGTATAAGAACAACTGAATTCAATAAAAACTCCACACAGAGATACAAAAACAAACGTGTTTTTGCTTTTCTGTCTAAAAAGTTATATTTTAGGGTTAAAATATATATTTGGGTTCATCTATATAGTACATTGTAACTGCAATTGTCTGATTTATTGATTTGTACTGAAAGGTGGATTTAAGATTGGTAAAGTATGGAGTCATTTGTATGAAAGCATTATTATAGATAATCCACTGAATGCCTATTTTCTCCTTTAGATTCTGGCCTGAAAGCAGTGAAAATGCAGACATATGAGATTACAAGGGATTCTGCTGGGTTTTGCATTCACTCTGTTTATGCCATGTAATCAGCCTGCCATGCAAGGACTGATGCTTTGAAGTGCTGGTGCTTATAAAATGGATGTCTCCCCAAAGTCAGGAGAAACTCTGATCGTGTGCCACATCCATGGCCAGTCTGTTGGGTGGCACCTATATAACTCTGTACAGACATCCAGACAGCCACGCACTTTGAATTTAACCCACAGTATATCCCTTCCTGAGAGAGGAGATCTGCCGAGGGAAGCACTTGACTATGGCAGTCTAAGTCACACAAGCAAGTCAAGTTCAACAGAAACAGAGGACAAAAAGGTGACTGAAAATTCTAGAGGGTATGAATCGTCCCCAACGCTTTGTGCTTTGGACTCTCCATCGACCAATCCTCAACTAAAAAAAGAGCCATTGCATTGCAGAGGTACTCCCAGATGGCATAACCTCTTCATCCCTGAATCAGAAGTGAATGAGGATGAAGAGGATGAGGACTCAGATGGAGACAACTTGCACAAGTACCATGAGGGGTCATCCCTTCAACTACAAGGAAATGTGACTCAGAGTAATATGAATCCTTTTAGCCAAGTCAAAGTAAACAAAGAACAGGAGAGGGAGTTTGATACAGGTTGCGGGGATCGCAGGGATAGCAGAGGAACCCCTGTATTAATGGACTGCGATGAACAGGACTGGGGTGATGAGGAAGACTTCAGTAAGCATACTCTCGAGGAACCTGATAATAGCTGGGCTCCAACTGAAAACATTATCGAATCCATTACTCAAAACCAAACAGACTATATCACTGACTCTTCCTGTAACAGCTCAGATGGAGTACTAGTTAACTTCAGTGCTATCTACCACAAAACCAACAATGCAGTTCCTGCAACTCCACTAAATCTAGATAGTCCTGTTCCTGGATCTTGTATAGTGTTACAGGACAGTTCAAACCCTTTACCCAGCTGGTCATCTCACAACACTGATCCAAACTGCAACATCTACCCATTCAACTCTTATGGCTTCCCATCAATAGAAATTTCTGACCTCACTATGTGTCTGCAGAGTCAGGCACGGTTAGCAGGTTCCACCCAGAATTACTATAAACTGGTGACGTGTGACCTATCATCCCAGTCTTCACCTAGCCCACCTTGGTCCTCTTTGACCAGTTTCTCTGAGACTCAAAGCCATGGAAGCTGTTCTCCAACTTCCGAATATTTCCTATTCGGACATTCAGAGGAAGAGGAAAGGGAGAAGCCAAAGGTTTTCCAAACTGAACACAAGGTATTTATACCACTACCATATGATACCTATAGTAATGTCAAGATTCAGGAGGCTTTGATTAAGGGATTAACGTGTAACATATGCTGTCTGTGAATACCCCAGTGCATTGTTCTTTATGTGTCTAAATCTGCAATTTTTGAAGTTCTCCCAATACTATCCATTTTTTCCCAGGGTGATGGAAACATTGAAGTGAAGAATATTAGACGAGCCGATAAGGACCAATCTAAGGGAACAAAAGAGAGAATGGTACACATAAAAACCCATCAATCTGCTCCAAGAGAACATAATAGTTGTAATTACATTAAGACTCCTCAGTCTCAGAACTGGATTATCAGCCAGAAATGTTCTACCTTATCAAATCTGGGAGCCCTACAAAACAGCTGTCCAAGCCATTTAGACACAAATTTATCTTCACCTCTGTCTAGGCAACATGCCACCTCTTTTGCAGAAATTGCCCGATGTAAGAAGGGAAATGGAGAGCAATCCATGAAAAAGTGCATAGAGGATCCATCGGGCTCACACTTCATCCAAAACCTCTCTTCTATCCAGAAACAGGATGATTCAGAGATGGCAACAAAGTCCCTGAGTGCTGACAGCAGTAGTCAATCCAATCCAGAAGGTAAGAAACTTAGAGAAACCCTAATATTTTGCTTTCAGTACTTGGTTTTATAGACGGTTTTCCACAACATTTTCTTGTGCCTACAGGTGCTTCATCCCCAGAAGTTGTGCGATACACAAAAGCACAAAGGCCCACCTTTCTCTCTATTCAGCCCTTTGTGCTTCAGGCACCCTCAGGAAAACAACAGACCAAAGCACTTGGTTCCCTTCTTAATCAGTACATCAGCTACAAGTACAGCAAGCCTGGGCCATCCAAAGCTACTTGCAAAAGCAAGGCATATCCACATCATAAGCAACCCTCCCCTCTCAGGAGTTCCTCTAACATCCACCCGGAGGCAGCGACCAGTTCAGACACTTGTTCCACCTGCACATCAAGTCCTATTTTGCCCCATAACCACTCCCAGTGTACCCAGCCCTGCACACTGTTGGGGCTCATTCACCAGGACAGAAATCCACATATGAGTCCAAATATGAGACCAAGAAGCCCTCAACGCCTAGAGCAAGCAGATGGGAGTCCAAAGGCCTGTTCAAGTCAAACACAGTTAAGCCAAAAACATTCTTGGTATGGAAAACAAGCATCTCAGAATCGTCCACTCAAGCAGGTTCCTATTGTTCAGATTCAGACTCCACAATTAATCAAAGAGGAGACTACAGGTCCTCTGGATGCATCCTTCCCTTTACATCAAAACTCCTCCCCTGCCATTACCTCAGTCACCTCCTTGACCTCTATCACCTCCCTTGTCTCTCTACCAGGCACTGGATGGAACTCCCTTTGGCCTTTTGAAGCTTCATCACAGGTCTGCACCAATGAAGAACCTATTACCAATGTTCAACACACCTTTAAGCCAAGGAGATCACCTTGTAAGTGTCAATGAATCATGTTATGGTTTCCATTTACTGTATATAGTTTACTGATGTGCATGTTCTAATAATTATGGATCTTATTCACATATTACTCACACACACACACACACACACACACACACACACACACAAAACACGAAGATGGTGAGAACAAGATGGTAAGACAAATTGGTGTGAGGACGTGTTGTGAATCTGGTGGTAGTTATGTATTTAAGTCAATTTTATGTGTGCTTCCTCAACTCTGCAGGTGTTATGAGGAAACGTCAACATGGTGACTCATTCTCCATGACTGACAGACCCCCTGAAGTGTTCTGCTTCTCCCCAGAAGCCCCTTCAGATCTTCTTTCAGTTGATCTTTTGCACAAGAGAAGTGAGATGATGAATAATCAGATTCTGCATTGATTCTTATGACTAAACGCCCACATTTTCCCTACATTTTTACATGACTATCATTATTATCAGTTGCTAATATGTTCTGTTGTGTATAGCAATATGCCTATGGTTTGTATGGAGACCTTTGTGAATATGAAAATTTGTGCAGTATCTTGTACCACATAGAAATCCCAATTGCAGGAAATACTTTAGAAAAGTGAAGTACAATTCTTTCTCAGTATGCCATTGAAGGCAAAATCCCTTCTGTTACAGAAAGATACAGAGTGGATCTCTGCAGCATTGCCTCTGCTTCCCTGAAGGGGAAAATGTGACCTACTTTTAACTCACTGTCTTGGATTGGCTAACACACTTGGCGTGTTTGTGTGTGTGTGTTTTCTATGTGGGCACAAATGTGTGTACTACTATATGTTCCTTTTATAGTAGGGTTCGTATACCTTTATTTACAGTTGTTCTTGATGTCACAACTGACAGAAATGACCTACAAGTACAGCATTTTAAAATAATTTGCATTGAGTAAATATTTATGCATGTCCTAAATTCCTTTACAAATTGTCAGGTTGAGTGTTGAGGGATCAGAAACACTTTTGAGCAATAAAATATGTTTTTGAATGAATTTAAATAACTACCTTACTCCTATCTCTCCCCTTTCTTATTTCTCTTTTTTGCAGGTATGTTGAAAGCTGTGAGTTTGGCAGTGGATCTCATAATGGCACATTTCAACTCAAGACAAGACCCAGAAGAAAAGGTGGTACAAGGAGTCAATTATTATATTTTTTTAAGTAAAAAGAAAAAAGAGATGTAACAACAGAAATGTCAAATATTACCCATGGGCCCTAATTAGACTGTCAGATAAAAAAAATTGTATATAATTTAATGTACAGAGTCCTTTTAGAATAATAAGGCATCTCAATCTGATGTCTTAAATTGTTTTGTCATTTTGTTTTCAGATCAGACTGGGAAATAGTTTACTGTGCACCACTATCAGCAGCCTTGTCCTTAAACAGCTTTACCTTGCAATCCAGAACATCCTTCAAGATGGTTTGAAAGCCTATAAATTGGACTTGATTATTGGACAACGACACAACAAACTATGGAACATCGTAGAGGCCACAGCACGACCAGGTCTGTATGAGCCAATCAGATGAAAAGCAAATGAAACATCTTTTTCATTATCAGAGTGCCTTCGAAAGCTAATTCAACACTGTTTTTATGACTGCCAATATTTTTCTTTTCACAGGCTCATCTACCCGACTGTCTGACAGCTTGGTGTCTGTGGTAAAAAAATGTTCCCAGTTATCAAGTCGCATGCGGCTCAGTGTCTTCATCATAGATCTGCTAAAGTAGGTCAAATGCTGAATACATCTTTTAAACTTTGCACCACAGTACAGTTAGCTAATGAAAATATTGCTTTTTAGCTTGCATGCTTTGGAATTCTGGATCCGTCATTTATACACTTGCGTTGGTGAGTATGAGGTTTAGTGACAACTGTAAAGGAATGTATTGTCCACTGTCCCAATACTTAATTCCTTACCATTTTATACTCAACTCTATTCAAGATGTTGTGACGGAACACTATCACGAATGGGGTTTCTTGGCTCTGGCCCAGGGGCCAACTTATAGACCACTGTTCCAAGAGCTGCTTCTTTTGCTGCAGCCACTCTCCCTGCTGCCATTTGACCTCCATCTTCCATCCGAACCTCACCTTCAAAGTAAGGAAAAGCAAAACCACAGAGCACCCCTGCCTCATCGGCTTCTTGCCCAGTCAGCTCAGATCCTGCAGATGAGCTCGATCCAGAAGAACAGCAGGAGTCCAACAGGTCACAGCGATGTCTTCAGTCAAAGGGAAACTGATGGATTTTGGCTTAATCAGACACCCACCTCAGAGTGTGAAACACAGAAGAAAGAGGATGTAGCAACTGGAATGGAAAACAATGAGATGCCACAATCTTCAACAAGTCCTCTGGAGGACAAACACTTGAGTGAGCTGCGTTGGGCCAGGCTCTTCGGCTCTAAAGTTGGAACACCAGTTGGCCCACAGAAGGCACAAATAAACATGCGTGGACCGCTGAGAAGGTTAGTAACTGTGATTCTTCAAAACTTCTAATAAAGTCACTTTGTTAACTTTGGTTGTCTTTTATCTTCCTCCAGACGGCCTTCAGAATGGCTGAAGCTTGGTGCATCCAAAGTGGATCTGCTTGCGCAGTCAGTGTGGATAGGAAAATGGCCAGAGACTCATCTGAGTGGTAACCATGACAGAGACACCCCAAACAAAGATGAGATATTATTCTAAAGAGCCCACAAGGAGTCTGATTTTAGCTAGACAGAGTAGAAGCACAATTAATCCAAAATAAACCTTACATAGTCAACCGACACATCCTGTACAATCCAGTGCAAGTGCACCATATCTGTTCCCGGCTAGAATATTGCCTTAGTGATTTACCAATCAGGACAATCTGTATTATACCTTGGTCTATACAAAATATTCACTAACTTCAAGCCATGATGAGATAAAGTTTTTAGATTAAATTTATAACACAATCATAGTATAGTGTAGAGTATATAACATGGATGGATATCGTCTGCCAGCAATCAAGCACAAAACTGGAACTGAGGTCCTCAGAAGTCTTTTCCAACCAAACCCTGCACTTTATCTCTGTCTCAGGTCATTATGTCATGTAAATCTAGTCATATAATTTCTGCTGTTGTTGAACTATGTGGCATTATTAAAAAAAAAAACTTTTCCTCAAGGTCTGTTTGAAATAGTTTCTATAACCATTTCCATGCATGACACAGTAGCATTAATTACTATGCATGACAAATAATAGTTTTCCTTTTAAGCATTCTGTGAATTACAACTGCTGGTTTTATTGCATTTTTGCACGATGAAATCAATTAAATAGCTAATCTATATGATATAGATGCATGCTGAGTAGCTATATTTCCTGTTTCTACAGAAGGACTAGTTTAGTAGTGATATTTGTTGATGACTACATTTGCGTGACCCCTGATGTTAGTGACACAAAGACAGACAAGAGCTCATTGAAGACAATGATTTGATTTTAAAGGCAGTGGTTTTTATATGTCCTGATATTATAGTTGTGCCTGATTGGAACCTTGTGATAATAAAGATTTGCTGAGTCATTAATGTTCATATTGTGTGCTTTTGTGTATGTGTGTGCCAGAAGAAAGTTACAAAAACCATGTCTTTTGAAAAAATAGATTTCTTTTAGTTGACTTGCCAGTGTCTTGTCACTTGTCAATTCCTTTAAAATCAAAATTCCACTTATTATGGTGAACGCTAACTCAGCTACATGTTGCTTGTTAGATGACCAAAATGACTTTAATTGTTCTTAGATGGGTTATGTGTGATAACTGATTCACTTGCACCGTTGGGTCTTCACTCCAATCTGTTTTTCTCTGTGTTCTTCCTCTGTGTACCAACGTGACCCAGAGCATCATGGGTGAGCTGCCCAAATGTTTGGCCATATTGAAACCTGTACCCTGTTGACATAATTACATTGCTTTATTACTATAAATGATAGCATACTTTCTTCAAAGGAACATAATTACCATTTTTACATACCTGGTACGTGCCCCATGTAGGAGGGTAGGATCCCTGTTTTAGAGGGGTATATTGTGGGTATCAGAGGCAAGCTGGTGGAATCCTTCTTTTGCAAGTTGAAGGAGGTCCGACATGCCTTCATTTCATTGCCAAGCTGGATCAGTGCCTTGTTGGTGATGATGGGATATCCAGCACCAAAGAGGAACCGGGTTTTGGGGACGTAGCCAGTAAAACCTATCAAAACGACAATTGTTACTAATTGGTGCAAAATTAAGAGCTACTGTATAAGCACATTCTTTACATTTAAAAAACTCTGTAATTTGCTTCTTGGTAAGCCCAACTCTGGCTAACCTGAGATGAAATACTTATGTGGGCTGCTTTCCTCCATGAAGTACGGGGAGCCTTGTGGTTTCCAGGGGTGCGGGGCCTTGTAGGGGGCAGGATCTTTAGATATGGCTGTAAGAGGACTGTTCAATCTTTTAGGCTACAACAAAGGACAACCATTAGATTAATCTTCTGATCAAGAAGTTGACAAAAAGTAGCTGATGATTATAGCCATAAAATTACAGCATCTGTGAATCAGGGAACTTTCACAGCTTGTTTCAACACAATGATGTGATAATTTCCTGAAATCATGTGGTGTCCTGATTGAAGAGCTTGTTTACTAACAGTACTTCTTTTCATTTACTGGGCATGTGACACTCGACCTGCTTTGATACCGGATATTTAGCATGTATAATTAAACAGGGTGACCATACACAGGGGAGCTGTGAAAGAGAAGCAATCCGACTGTGACAGCTCACTTTGAAATCTGGGAAGCTGTCGTTGACAGTAAAAGACAGGTCAGCAGAAGCTGCACGCAGTCTCTTTTCTTGTTCCTGGCTGAACTCTGATAGTGCATCTCGACAGGTTTCTGCATATGTTTTGCAGAAGTAGTTTTGACGCAATGGAACAAAACCTTGGAGCACAAGAGAGAGATATACCGGTAATGCATGTTTACAGTTTTGCAAACTAGACACCAAGTATTGCAAACCCCCAAACTGTTACCTGTGTATCCCGGAATCCTTTTCTCCAGGTTCCTTCTGCCTCCATGTTGGCCTCTCCAGATTTCATCGCGGGGTTCTGAGTCCTTCTCTGTGGATGGGAAACGCCCGGTATGGAGTACAAGCCTCTGTGAGTGAGACACCTCCGGGGAAGATAGGAGCTTTGCTGTTAACTGACCATAAGTCTGGCCCACGTGATACTTCAGCTGAGGACAGTAGCCTGCATACCTAAACAGAACCATCAGCAGATGTTTGGAATAATGATTATATTATAATTCTTTAAGTCCATATAATTCAAGTGTATGGACACCTAAAGGTGATGCTTTATAAAAGGTAATCCAAATGACTGATTGATGAACCAATGTCTTCTGAAGCAAAACAACAGATGTTTGTAAGAAAAATACTAATATTTAAAACTTTTTTAACTATGAACCATCACTTCTGGCCAGTTGTTCATGCTTCACCAGCCCATTGTGAAGTCTGATGTAAATGCGCTCATATTCTGTCACTTCTCGAGTCATTGCTTCACAATTTGAAGATGTAGAGCTTCATGAAGCGTCAGCTTTGCAGGTCCCATACACTTGCATTAGATGGATTCTTTTTCTAAAAATCTTTGTGTTCATCTGAAAGAAGAAAGTCATACACATCTGGGACAGCTTGAGGGTAAATAAATTAGAGAATTTTCATGCTGGTTTGAGTGTCCCTTTAAACACGCGTTTATATATTATATTATACGTTATATTATTAAACCAATACATTAAATGTGCATTTGGTAAAAAGGCTAAATGAATGCTGGAGATGGAAAGTTAAAAGTTAAAAGTTAGTGAAGAAGTTGAAGAAGTGACATTTCCAATGATATTGATTGATTCATTGATGGATTCATTCATTCATTTATTTAGACCAGAAATGCCCAAAGCAGGGCCCAAGGGTCAAAGTTGGCCCATGATAACCTTAGATTTGGCCAGCCATCCCAAATCACAAGAGAGGGAAAAACATGCCATTGAAGCATCTTCATTTATAATTTATTTATTGTATTTTTACAAATAAGTAAAAGTAGGCTTATTTATTTACTTTTAACAATTTATTTTTAAAAATGTATATTAAAAATGTATTTAAATGCATTCATTTTCAACCCACAGACCTCAATCTAGTTTGGCTTTTGGCCCTTTATAGTAAAACGTTTGGCCACCTCTGATTTAGACAGACAGGTAACGTTACCGTATACACCTAGCAGTAAGTTACTATGACAGCTAGCAACATACACGCTTCATTTGGCTTAGCCTCGTTTTAAGTTACATATAGAAAGGATTTTGTAAGCTTTATTTCAAAATAAACCCAGGCCTATAAACTAGCAACTATCATTCAAAATAAAAAAATTGGTACTTTTTCAAACTAATTAAAATACGAACCACATCTAATTTATGAATCAAAATAATAAACAAATAATTTAATAATAATACAGCAAAATAACTGAGAACTCACCCTGGGATGTACTGTGGGTCAGGTGTCACCAACACTGTACTAAATTTTGGTGGAAACTGCTCCATATTTTCAAACCCGCAGCAGTTTTGATTGTTGTTATACGGTTGCTAGGTGAGCAGCGTCCGCGTGCCATTATTCTGTCAGAGAGCGTAACGACGTAACGCTCGGTGTACTCTAGTCATCCTGAAGAAGAACTCATAAAGTGTGCAGCAGCCTCCATCTAAATAAAATAAAATAACTAACTAATCAACGAAGAGAAAATAAATTCATTTTCTACTCAGAGTCCATTAAATAAAAAAATAAACTCTATCAGCGGTCAGGCAAGTCAATATTGGTCGGTGACAGTCAGGTTTAAATCTGCATGGGTTCGCTTCAGTTGGCTGGTACTTGACCTGGTAAAGATAATGTTACATGACAAGTCAGTTAGTTGTGATGCTGCAGCCTCTTGTGGGTAGTAGGAGAAATGCACCCAGATATGTTATCCTAAAAAAAAAAAAAAAACTATAATGGTTAATTATTATCTGTACATAAAATAATTTAAATGACCCAAGAGGACAAAACCTAGCCTATTTTACTGACAGCCAACGAGATATTAAAGAGTTCTCCCATAATTAAACATACGCAACCCATAGCTAATGTTCCAGTACACTACAACATGTTGTTGGTTTTGTCGAAACTCGAAACACAAAAGGAGATTTCTGAAGAATCTTCACGTGCTTTTCTATAGGCCACAATTAAAGATTTTGACTAACACACACATAAACTGCTGCAACAAGATCGTTGAGTCAGTGAGTGAGAACCAGAATAGTCATTTTCAGCATGTTCCAAGCAGGGGCCGTAACGGGGGGAAGGTTAGGAAAATTCCAAGGGTCCGACGGGGAGAGGGGGTTCAGTCAAACGTGATTGTGGGGGGCCAGAGTAAATATTCCGTTCAGGGGGCCCAGAAACCATAGTGGTGCCCCTGGTTCCATGTGAATGTTTGCATAGGCCTACACTCATTTTCCTTAATCCAAATGAATTCATTCTGACAGTAGATTACAAAACACTTTTTATATGTACCTAATACTTTGTAATTGCATTCAAATATTATTGCACATGTGTATTCAACCATCTGCGCATGTGCAGAGCATCCACTTTGTGGTCGCGCTCAGTATCAGAAAAAGTATCCATCACAAAAGACAATTTTACCATGTTGACTCATCTAAAAATTGTTAGAAATGCTTATCTCATGTAATTTTATTTGATCTGTATTTTCAAATCTGGTGAAGAAAGTCCAGTTGGATTCAAAATATTTTGTTATTTCAAGGATTATTAAAGATCTACACTTAAAGGGGTCATATGATGTGATTTAAATTTTTCCTTTCTCTTTGGAGTGTTACAAGCTCTTCGTGCATAAAGAAGATCTGTAAAGTTGCAAAAACTAATGTCTCTAATCCAAAGAGATATTCTTTATAAAAGTTAAGAGTCAACCACGCCTACCTAAAACGGCTCGTTCTAACACGCCCCCACATATCTACGTCACGATGTGGGAAGATTTGCATAACACCACCCAAATGTTCACGCAAAGAAAGAAGGTGTAACTTTGATTCTCGCTGTAGTATTGTTGTTGCCGTGTGTTTCGTTGTGAAAGCGAAACTACTTTGTTTAGCCTTCCAAAAGAGGACGATATCCGCTTCGTCATGCCTAGAGCTGATCCGTGCTGGTCGCTGAGGAAATACAACAACTTTGCGCTGTGGATCGCCGGATTGGCTTTCACCGTGGACGAAGCAGAGTCCAGCCCGGGGTCGTCACATGTGGTTGCCGCAAGCCGGCCGGCCACTGCTTAATCTAGCCCCTGGCCTGCTCTCACTCTAGCCGCCGGCCGCCGCTCACTCTAGCCCCCGGCCGCCGTTCACTCTAGACCCCGGCCTCCGCTCACACTAGCCCCCGGCCGCCGCTCACTCTAGCCCCTGGCCTCCGCTCACTCTAGCCTGCCGGCCGCCGCTCACTCTAGCCCGCCGTGTGTTTCGTTGTGAAAGCGAAACTACTTTGTTTGGCC